ACAGGCTTGAGCCACCGCGCCCGGCCACCTCCTAAATTTTTAAAATAAGAGGTTGTTAATTTAATAACAATCCAATCTGAGATGAAAAGTAAAGGAAGGGGAAAAAAATAGGGGCAATTAATGAAAGACCTTTCCTTTGTATTGTAAGAGAACTTTTCAAATCTTCTATTAAAGTTATCAGGCACTCTCTTGTGACCAAAGCATTACTAAATTATACAGTTTTTCCCATAACAGGTAGTTCAGGTTCAAAGTTCGTATTCGTAAAATGTATATATCTTCATCAGTGTTAAGTTATAGGTCTAGTTATAGCCTTGTTCTTTAAAACTCTAAATCAAAACTCCATTAAACTCAAACAAAACTATTTACTACTAAAAATTAATATGTGTTGTACAGATTTTAATTAGCTCAACAGATATAGGAAACTAATAAAGAGTCAGAGCTTATGTTTTTATATATTCTACATCAAGGATTCTGAATAAGTTCTTAAAGAATAAAAGTGAAATTATGTTTAGATCAATGATCTTTAAATAATTATATTAATATATTTAGGCACTTTCGTTTTAGCAGTTGTAATTTCACAAGGTTTCAAGTATATCTTTCCCTAAGGAATACAGGCTCCATCTCAATTCAAAATTCCAAGTTTGAAAGCATTTTACTTTCCAGTTGAATGTAATATTAATCATTTCAGTTCTTCAGTTAAACGAAGACATTTAGAACGTTAGTAATGAAATGTTATATTAATCTTTTTAAAGACTTTCATAGACTAAACCAATATTTGCTAAACCAACTAAACTAAACCAACATTTGCACTTGTTTATAAAAGGAGGAGTTTATTAGAGGTAGAGATTACTATTATTTGCTTGTTCTATGTTCTCCTACGGGCACAAGCATTATTCCATTTCAGAAGAAACGACTGACTCATATGTCTGGATGGATGGCTCTGATTCCAAATGCAAAACACATTAACTGGTATTTTAAAGGTGTGGATCACATAACCAACATTTCGTATACATCAACATTCTATGGATTTAAGGTAAAAATATTTATCTTCTAATGATTATAATTGCGTATTACCCAAACACAGTCTACATCCTCATACTTACTCACACACATTGTCAGGCCAGAGGGACCTTTTATCACAAATTGACCTGTTGAAATCCGGCACATTCTTCACGAACCATTCTGAATCTAAGAAGTAAGCCAAAAAAAAAAAAATTCATTTGAGAATCAGAAGTAAGCAATCTTTCTGCCACATTGCTGTAGTACTAAGCTTATTCCTCTGTCATTATTACCATGATAATAACTTACCTTTACTGAGTGTTTATGATATCTCAGGGATCAGCAGTTAAGAACTTTATTTTTTATACCATGAAATAGATCAACCATACCTGAGGTCAAGAGTTGGAGACCAGCCTGACCAACATGGTGAAACCTTGTCTCTATTAAAAAATAAAAAATAAAAAATAGCCAGGTGTGGTGATGGGCACCTGTAGTCCCAGCTACTTGTGGAGACTGGGGCAGGAGAATCGCTTGAACCCAGGAGGCAGAGGTTTCAGTAAACCAAGATCACCCCACTGTACTCCAGCCTAGGCAATA